GTCTCTTTCTTTCTCCTTACAATAACTTGATTGGGTAGATATTTTTGTCCCTTGTTTGCAAATATGGAAACTGAGTGAGCTTAGTGAGTTTAATAAATTGTCCAACGTCATGGCTAAAAATTAAATGGAAAGTAGCAGAGCTTGAACTCAAACCAAGGTCTAAATTACTGGAAAATTACAGGTACAAAAATCTTATTTGTACCTGCCAGAGTAAAGACTACAAAAGTCTTTAGAATAAATTCCTTAGAAAAAATTCTGCAAAGCCAACTCTACTTCACTATGAAATGAAACATTTCATCTGAGTCTTTTTCTTTCCTTCCTAAACTCCCTTTTTCACAGAAAGTACATCTTTTTTAATCCGTGAAATAATTTATTCTGGTTTCATTCAACAAGTTATAACCATAGTGATCAAATCAATTACTGTTTATCAAACTTGTGAGGTAAGTAATGTCAAATTTGAAAGCAAAACAAGTTGGTTCATATAGGTTGAGTAAAATTGGGGAAAATGTTGTTTTATTTTGAAATCAGGTGATTTCTTCTGCAGCAGCGGATGAGTTCATGAAGTAAAGCAAAAGCTGCATCAAAGAGCCGCAAGTCCATACATTCTAGACTGGCTCCTCTCTGTTGACCCGACTTCATCAGAAGGTGGGCTCAGACGCTTTCATCACAAGATGCACTATGTAGCCCCAATTATATAATAACAACACAGAGTCTTTCTAGGTCAACAGCCCAAAGCACTTCTCCACAGTCAATTAATTTTAACAACATTCTATCAGGCAACTAGGGAGAGTAAGAACCTTACTATCAATGTGCAAAAGAGCCTGTCGGAGGAATGTTTTAAAGTATATTCCCTCTACTCTGAGGTACTCTGGGTCCTCATTTTCTCTAATAATTATTATTCATGTCACATTTTAAAAAAGGGTAATGGTACATTTCTTTTTTTTTTTTTTTGTGAGGAAGATCAGCCCTGTGCTAACAACTGCCAATCGTCCTCTTTTTTTTTGCTGAGGAAGACTGGCACTGGGCTAACATCTGTGCCAGTCTTCCTCCACTTTATACGGGATGCCGCCACAGCATGGCTTGCCAAGCGGTGCATCGGTGCACGCCCGGGATCTGAACCGGCGAACCCCAGGCCGCCACAGCAGAGCGTGCACACTTAACTGCTTGCACCACCAGGCCAGCCCCACGGTACATTTCTTGAAGCCACCTATTAGATTGAAGTGGCAGAGGGAAGCATGGAGAGATAGTGAACAGATTCATGTACATTTGTAAACACTCTCCTAGGAGTCTAATGCTGGTCCTCCAGCATTAGCATAGTGGTTTAGGGTTTGCAAAATACATTTATGGTACCATGTGATCTTCACACCAACCTAGGAACTCTTATCACTGTTTTTTTTCTTTTTGCTGAGGAAGATTTGCCCTGAGCTAAAGTCTGTGCCAATCTTCCTCTATTTTGTATGTGGGTTGCCGCCACAGCATGGCTGCCAGTGAGTGGTGTAGGTCCATGCCTGGGATCCTAACCTGCAAACCCGGGCTGCCAAAATAGAGCATGCTGAACTTAACCGCTACCCCACAGGGCTGGCCCCATCTTATCACTTTTTTATAGAAAAGAAAACTAAAGTTTGGACAGGTTATGCATTAATTGCCCAACATTGTGCATCTCGTAAATGATAAAGCTTTCTGAAATTGGGTTTCTGAAATTCAGATTGCTCGCTGCCTCCCAACTTGTGATACTACAAATGTTTAGTTTGAACATGGTAAGTATTCCAGCCTTGTCTCCAAGGTTCTTTGCATAGAGCTGTCTCATTTGCAGTTTGATTCAAGTAAACAAAGACATATTGAGTTTCTATTAAGGTTCAATAAATACAAAGATGACAAATACAATCCTTGCACTCAAAAGCTCATCTGGTGGAAGAAGAAGATTCATAAACCATGAACTGCGATCTAAGTTACTCCTTTACTATATTTATCATGCCTTCCTGAAAACGTGTGTGAACGTGCAAATGTAACAACTATTGAATTGCACACTTTAAGTAGGTGAATTTTATCGTATGTGAATTATATCTCGATAAAGCTGCTATTAAAAAACTCAAACAAATAAAAAATTCTTGTTAAGAAGGACATTCTTGTCTCCAAAAAAGATAAAATAATCACAGAATTATTAATTACTCTTGATCTTGGACCTGATTTTTGATGATACAATCTCAGCATTTTGGGATACTGTTTTTGTACAAAATTATTAACCTATAATCAATAAATAGCCAATCAAAGTTACAGATGCTTTACTTGTCACATTCCTAATTTCACTCTTGTTTCAAACAAATATTAAATTTTTGAGATTTACATTTCTTAACATAAATATTATACTTAGTTCTCTAAAATTACTACTTATTTTTTAAAGTAAAATAACATAAAATATCTAATAGTTGCACAAACGTTACCGTGTAAGCAAAGATAGAGGCCCTGCCCAAACAAAATGTGTACTGGCAAGCAGGGCCACCTTGGAATGATTCCAAATAATCAAGTTGCACTGAAATTTGGCCAGGAGCTCCCTGCCCATTGCCCAGCCCTTTGAGCCAACATGAACCTTTCATTGCACGGATGAGGACGATGAAGCACGAAGGTGTTGACATCTTGGAATGTTCCCATGATCCCACAGCAAAAAGTCACAAGCGAAGTCTCCTCTACTGCCCTTTTCACTACTCCATTGAGTTGGAATCCCTGGTAAAGTCTTTACTTTATTACTCAACAAATAGTTATTGAGTGGCTTCTATTTTCTAGGCATCATTCTAGACAACACAGATATGTTGGTAAAAATCATCTACACTGTGATGAGGAAGACAGATAAGAAGTTTTCAAATGAACAAGGAAACACAAACAAATAAATAAAAGATAGTAATTAGTTGCTATGCAGAGGATTAAAATAAGGTTATTCTTGGGGGTGACTTTAGACCCTAAAGAGATGACATTAAGCTGAGCCCTACGTGGCTGCTTGTGAAGACTAATGGAAGAGAAGTCCAGTGAGTAGCCCAGCTGGTGAAAAAGCTCGAAGGCAGGAATGAACTTTGAGTGTGCTGAGGAGAATAAAGGAGTCCATGAATGACCCTACACGTTTGACCTAAGTAACTGGATGAATGGTGGTGCCAATAATTGCAATAGGGAACACGGGGGAAGAAGCAGGTTTTGACACGGGGGGCGTAAGAATTCTATATTGACATCTGTATATACTACAGCTAAACCCTATACAATATTACGCACCAATGTTACCTCAATTAAAATAAAGAATTCTACATTGATTCTATAAAGTTTGAGAAGCCTGATAGGCATTCAAGGAGGGTGTGGGAGTGCAGGGGACAGGACTAGGGGAGTAGATGCCATCTGAAGAAACTTATTGGCCTCCTGGACTGGTAGTTCCTGTCTGACTTAAGAGACTTTTTGGATTCCAAAGAGTCGATCGAAGCGAAGTGGTATAAAAGGATGTGGTTGGTAGGAAGCAGAGGTAGAGGTCGAGAAAGCAGGACTGATTAATACAGTGGAGATGGAACACTTCATTGCAGAATAAGGAGTTGGCACCTCTAAGCAGTTGTGCTCTAATTTTAAGGATTAGATAAACCTCTCTATTTGCAGATGGTAGACCCAGACTTTACCAGAAAACTAGGTATTATAATCTACTGTGTACCTTTTTTTTCAAATAAGGAAAACGTCTGTATGTCCCCATTGTGTCTCCTAGCAGCAAGCTTACATTTTAGCAATGCCAAAAAACAGTGGCACGATGAGCGCCGACTCTGAACCAGTCTTACCCTCTTCATCTATTTTCCATACTGCACTCAAAACACTTTTTCTAAGTTGCAAATCGAAAAAGACATGCTCTTGATGAAATTCCTTTATGGTCCCTTGTTTCTCTTAGCAGACAGTCAAACTCTTCACCATGACCCACTGCATACTGGTCCCTGCCAATTTCTCCAGCCTCACTTCTTGCTACCTCTTGCTCATTGAGCCTGCTGAGTTCTATTTTCTCAAATGCACCTTGTGCTCGCTCTAATTGCTAATGCTCTGTCGTCTCCCAGGACAAGACAGAGATGCTTCTTGCTCATCTCTTCCCTAAACTAACTCCTACTTATATTTCAGGTCTTCATCAAGACAACACTTCCTCAGAGGAAGTTCCTCTACAAAGCCTACCTTGCCCCCTCATCTCAAGTCTATTTAGGCCCTTCTCCTCCAGACACTCCATCATCCTTAGCCCTGACCACACACTATTGCCATTGTCTGCAAACTTGTAGCTATCATCCACAATCTTATTGAGGGCAGAGACCATGGCTGTCTTGTATACCGTTGTATCCTCACACTAAGTACAGTCGTGGACATTTAGCATTTAGAGACTCAATATATATTTGTTGAATAAGTGCTAAGAAAATTTTCTACCAGACTATAAGTTCCTAGAGGACAGGAAACCTAGGCTGGTTTACGGTCCTATCTCCAACTCTGCATAGAATATGAGTGCTCAAGATTATTTATAGAATTGTAAAACTGAGAGCTTTACATTATATGATTTGGTCTTATTGAAAGTGGAGTTTCTGGTGAAGAACGTTGCCATTGTCCTGGTGCAAGCTTTGGTTGGATTTTAACATGTCTAGCCATGGATACCATTTCCAAGTCCATGTAAACAATATCTAGACTAATACTACTCACCCACGCTCTCAATATGGTCTGCTTTGGTAAATGAACTATAATAAAGTAGTCCTGCATCTAAGCTTATCCTGTAAGTGAAATACTCATTATGATCCTGCAACTTAGACCACTTGATTAAAAATGTATGCAGTTCTCTAGGGCTTTTAAGACTTTGAGATCTTTATCTTCCTACAATGTGGAAATAAGGTATAGAACTAAACAGATCACAACAATCAATGCTTTAATGCATCAATCACTTCCATATAAAACCAAAAACACAAAATCATGATTTAACTAAACGTGTTCTAATAAGTAGAGATATTCGTAATTACCTTCTAGTGCATATTTCATATCCTGAGCAAAAAGGGTCCACATAATTTCAGCACTTATTTTTCCCATGTTCAGTTCTTGAGGAAACCTAAAACCAAACACATATATTAGCACATCCAAAAGAGAAATGTGCCTATAAAACAAAGCAAAATATCTCACTTTACATATACACCACAGTAATTATATAGTTCATAAATACTTTTATTTATGAGATTTCTCTTTATGAACTTTCATATGTAGGAAGAAAAGCTACATACCAGACTGTGGTGATAAAAACAATTATTGGGTAGGGGGAAAATAGACTCCATTACATCAGTTCCCACGTGGCGACTCCCAGGGCTCCCGGTGGATGCCTTAGGATGTGTGTTTGTGTCTAAGGAGCCCCTTCAGTTTTATCAAACACTTCATCTTCATGTGTCTCAATTTTGAGGGTAGGTCAGATGAATCTGAGTGACAGCTACCACATAATACCAAAAACTACACCTCACGTTCATCTGTTAGCCATTTTCCTTGGAGCAAGCTTGAGGTGCTTCTATTTTCTATTTGCTTAAAATGGATTATTTCAGGAAAGATTCCTCACTCCTTTGGTAAAATGGTCCACGGTGGACACGTTAACCAGGACTCCAAGGCTCCTAGGCAGGTCTGTGTTTTAGATCAAACAAGCTTAGGCCAAAGACAAGACTCCCACTGCTGCCAAATATGTCTTCATTTGTGTATGTTTTCAATCTCATGATAAGGCTCCTAGTAATATAAGTCCAATGAATATAATGACCGAGTCTTTTCATTTCATTGTAGACATTTACCCCATGCCAGTATGTAAGATTGAAAATATTTTCTGTTCTAACAAATATTTATTATATATCATATATATATAAAATGTATGCATATATATGTATATATACATACATACATACCAAAATAATACATATTAAGAAACTATGTGTGTGTATATACACACACACACATATTAAGTAACAAAATTAGCTCTCACATTCATTTATATTTTTGGGTCCAAATCAAAAAAGAGTAATACAATCCTAAATGGGATAGAAAATGTTACCTAAGCAAATACGACCTCAATATGACCTCAAATAAGAAAAGACCACTAACGCTAGATAAAACTATTCTAGTCAAACTTTTCACCAAAAGCAAGGTGTGTGTCATCAAATATCCCTTACCAACTGCTATTCATCAATTTATCTAACAATGTCAATTGATATTTTAAAACTTAAATGCAGATGTACATTTATCAAGTATTTACACTGAAACACTTTCTATAATTAAAAAAATTAACACAACCTGAATATATACAAAATTAGTTTTCAACATTAAACTTATTGATATAAAAGTAATGTCGGGCAAGTAATTTATTTCAAAAGGTTTCATTTGTGGATAGCTACTAATGTCACACAATTTGTAGTATAATAATTTTTATGTAATAGATATGCAGCAATAAAATTGTAAGTGATATAATGAGAGTACTTCAAGATCATAAAATCATGAAATTAATGACTTTAATTAGAACATGTTAATTCACTGTACAGTGCTGTGATACAAAAAATAAAGACATTATAAAAAAGAAAACTAAAGAACATTATCTCTCGTAAAAATAGACGAAAAATCCTCAACAAAAAAAATGGCAAATTCAATTCTGCAACATATAAAAAGAATAATACATCAGGACCAAGTGAAGTTTATCCCAAAAATGCAATGCAAAAATGAATCAATGCAATTTACCATATCAACAGACTAAA